AGATCCCCAAACTCGCCAAGCCAGACCTCTACTCTTGAGCCAGCAGCATAGGGGGATACACAGACCAACTCTAGAGACATCCCTGGGTGTACAGTCCCTACAAAGCAGGACCTATGCAATATGCAGAACACACTGGAAATACAGAGGATCCCAACTGCAGATGTAGCTTTCCTAAAATCTAACATACAGCAGATTGATTAGAGGGCGAACGCCATTGAAGGAGACATATGGAAAATCTGCAATGAACTAGCTGAAATGAAAGATGCAATGATCCAACTCCAAACTACACAGCAGACCATGACACTGCAAATGACCACACATGAAGACAGGTACCACCGCAACCACCCTAAAATCCGCAGGGGTACACCTTACGATCACTATGGGAAATTACCCCATTACATAAGGAGTTCTCTGTTACCACTGGCTCTGGTCAACAAAATCATCATTGCTAGACTATACCGCCTCCCTACATCCACTAAGTCTTTGGCCCCAATTACTGTATATCACATCATGGCAGCAGTGAGAGGCAAGACTCCATGGTTATTTGAAGGATCGCATGTAACGTTCTATCAAGATCTAACAAAGACCACAATTCAGTGGCTAAAATCACAAGATCCCTTCTCGTCTCCCACAATGGAACTGTCCACAAGCTCTCTGCAGAATCTGAAGCACCTGCACTACTCCTCACTCAAGATCTTGCTGACCCTACACCTACAACCTCTGCATCGCCTATCACCTAAGTCTGGGACCCAGAGTCAGCTGTACTGTTCATGTCACGAGACACATCGAGGACAGCGCCAACCACCTGAATGATAAAGAAGGAGATGCTGCTCCATGTTTGGAAGCAAACAGATCACCAATATTAAGCTTTTGTATTTTTTGCTTTAGTATTTTCTGTTACTGAAATATTACTAAATTACTCTTTTGTAGTTCATACCCTCTATCGCCAGGTCCAGATAGGAGAGGTCTAAGTCCTGTCTCACAAAACACATTAGACACACCCATAAAAGGTGTACAACCCCACCCCCCATTGTTAGGAGTACTTACCTCCTTGGGGAGCCAAGACCATCCTCATGGAAACTCTTACTCTACTACTCTGGCTACCCATATACTCTTTTCAAATCTTATTCTCATTAAAACCTAAACTACATACCCATAATCTACTACCACCTTCATGAAACTCAGTTTGTTTACCTACAGACACCAAGTATACAAACACTGCACACCCACACACTCTCAGCTGGCCACGTATACTGGCTCAAATCAACTTGGTAGAGAAATGTTATTTCCCAAAACAATTATCCTAGAATGTTTAACCTCTTGGGGCTACACCCCAGATAAACATAGAAAAATGTGTGTTATATTAAATGTGATGTTATGTTTAATTACAATATTCATTCCATGTTTTGCTCCTGTCACACTGTATTACCATGACTGCGCTCGCTCTTGCTGTCCTGGCAAGGCGAGCTTATGTATACCTAACCGTGCACCAAAAATAAAGAATTTGTTTTAAAAAAACAACAACAAAAAAACTAATAGAAACCCCAAACAGGTCATGTGACAAATAATGCGTGTTTCTCCACTTTGTGTACAGTGAGAATCATGTCTTTGATGTAGATGTTAACAAGAATTGTGCTTAACTCGGATTTGCTAAAACCTCTTAACAAGTCAGTGGAATAATGCATTGCTTCAGACCTTTCTGACCACTGCAATGATCTTGTTTTTTTGTGCCATGGAAAGTAACATAGTCATTTATTTTTAATGATAAAATAGTAGGCTTATACACAGTGAGAAATCTAAGCACCTCTAAACCTTTTTTCCTGAAAACAGGAAACACTGCATCCTCCCTTCTCCTAATTAATACACTGCCCTCCCCCCAATTTAACACACTGCCCCCTCCTACCTCTCTACCACACTGCCCCCTCCCACCACTCTAATACACTGCCCCCTCCCTTCCCCTAATTTATACACTGCACCCCCAATTTAACACACTGCCCCCCAATTTAACCCCATGCCCCCCTCCTATCTCTCTACCACACTGCAACCTCCTCCCTTCCCCAAATTAATATACTGTCCTCTTCTCAATTTAATACACTGCCCTCTCCCACTACTCTAATACACTTCCCCTTTCCTCCCTCAAATTAATACACTGCCCCCCATCCCCAATTTAATATGCTGGCCCCCTCCTTCCCCAAAATTAATTCAGTGCCCCCTCCCTAAAATTTATACACTGCTCACTCCCTCCCCCAATTTAATGCACTGCCCTCCCTCCCTCAAATTAATACAATTAACACACTACACAGGAAGGTCTCCCAAGCCCCTCTTCCCCTATCTTAAGAGGAGCTGCCCGTCCTCCAGTTCCAGCCCTGCTCTTCTTTGCTTAAGCAGGCCAGACTCTCCTCTGCAGAAGCACGTGATTGGCCGTGGGAGGGAAATATTTTTCCTGTCTTGCGGTTGGTCTCAAGAATGAGACAGGAAATATTTTTGGTGGACCACAAATATATCCATTATGGGCCGCATGCGGCCTGTGGACCGCAAGTTTGACATGCTTGATGTAGTGGATCTGGTGCAAAGAGACTGTATCTGCAGTCTCAGCAATGTAAACATTAAATCTTCTGAGAAAAGGCAGTGTTTCTATTGCTTCCTAAAGACACTTGTCTGAATGACAGCCACTAGAGACACTTCCTGTTGCAGTCCTGAAATCTTTGCAGGGCTAATGTTTGGTATCTGCGTGAAGAGGTTGAAATCGTCCCCCTAGACATACATTGAGCTAATACATCTATACAAGGAGATGCTGATTGACACATTATGGCAACATGCACAACAGTCCCCTTTGCTTTCTTAGGGGGAAGCACTGGATTGACTAAAGTTTATGTCTGGGGCAGAGCAGCAGCAGTGTCAAGAAAGGTCTTGGATTGAATATAAGATAAATAAATATTTTCAGGGGAGTAGTTATATTAGAAATACACTCATCAGCCACAACATTAAAGTAAATAACATTGATTATATCGTTACAATGACATCGGTCAAGGGCTAGGATATTTTGGGCAGTAAGTGAACAGTCAGTTCTTGAATTTCATGTGTTGGAAGCAGGACAAATGGGCATGCACAAAGATCTGAATGACGAGGACCAAATAGTGATGGCTAGACAAATGGATCATGGAGCAATGAAAGAAGGTTGCCTGGTTTGATAAATTACATTTATTTTAGATCAGGTAGATGTGTCAGGTGTGTGTGCATTGTTAACCTGGAGAAGAAATTGAAGCAGGATGCACTATGGGAAAAAGGCAGTACCACCTACCATAGATTGTTGTAAAACATACCCTTCTTCTTGGTATTGGTGTTCCCTGATGGCAGTGGCCTCTTTGAGCAGAATAATGTACCCTGCAATTCTGCAAAAAATGTTCAAGAATAGTTTGAGGAACAGGAACATGACAAACAGTTCAAGATGTTGCCTTGGCCATCAAATCCAGATATGCTGGAACAACAAATCCGATCTACGGAAGCCTCACTTTGCAACTTGCAGGACTTAAAGGATCTACTGCTAATATCTTGGTGCCAGATACCAAAGGACACATTCAGAGGTCTTGTGGATTCAATGTGTCAATGCATCAGAACTGTTTTGGCAGCATGAGGGTTACCTACAAGATATTAGTCAAGTGGTTTTAATATTATAGCAGATCAGCGTATATTACCAGTTCATCTAAATTTTAAGTTTGGCTATTTTGGCCTGACATTTTAAATTTACTTAGAATTTTGTTAGTTTACATTTTAGTTAAAACCCTATCTGTGTCCAGTGCTCAGAAGTTGCATGAGCTCCTATTCAAAGTATTGCAGCTTGAGTTTATATTGCCAACATCAAAGCTTGCACTACCACTGTACTTGCATCTTCCCATGTTTACTGAGTAAAATAAATTCTTAGAATACACAAATGGTAGTGCTGACCACCTCTGTTGCCATATTGGATCCCAACCATGGACCGAAGCTGGCAAAGCAGCAGGGAGAGAGGTAAATGCTTACTGAAGCACCAGCCCTCCTGCCCAGTAGATAGTTAAAACATGCTAATGATTCAGTAGATTGTGCACACAAATTTAATTATATTATACCATTGAAGTACTTAAAGCATGTGCATGCATTAACTCGTAGGCTCGAGCTAGTAAATCATGTGCATGAAATAATACAGCATTCACACAATTTAAAATACAGGTGATACTCGAAAAATTTGAATATTCTTCAAAAGTTCATTTATTTCAGTAATGCAACGTAAAAGGGGAAACTAATATATGAGATAGACGCATTACATGCAAAACAAAATAGTTCAAGCCGTGATTTGTCATAAGTGCAATGATTATGGCTTACAGCTCATGAAAACCCCAAATCCACAATCTCAGTAAATTAGAATATTACATGCAATCAATAAAACAAGGAGTGTACATAGAACAATATCGGACCTCTGAAAAGTATAAGCATGCATATGGACTCAGTACTTGGTCTGGGCCGCATTTGCAGCAATTACTGCCTCATTGCGGCGTGGTATGGAAGCCTGTGGTACTGCTGAGGTGTTCAGCTCTTCGTGTTCAGCTCTTGTTAGGTCTCATGTCTCTCATCTTTCTCTTGGCAATGCCTCATAAATTTTCTATGGGGTTCAGGTCAGGCGAGTTTGCTGGCCAATCAAGCACAGTAATACCAGGGTAATTGAAACAGGCTTTGGTGCTTTTGGCAGTGTGGACAGGTGCCAAGTCCTGCTGGAAAATGAAGTCAGCATCCCCATAAAGCTCGTCTGCCAGAAGAAGCATGAAGTGCTCCAAAATCTCCTGGTAGACGGCTGCGTTGACCCTGTACTTAATGAAACACAGTGGACCGACACCAGCAGATGACATGGCTCCCCAAATCAACACAGACTGTGAAAACTTCACACTGGACTTCAAGTATCTTGCAGTGTGTGCCTCTCCATTCTTCCTCCAGACTCTGGGTCTTTGGTTTCCAAATGAGATGCAAAAGTTGCTCTCATCAGAAAAGAGGACTTTGGACCACTGAGCAACAGACCAGGTCTGTTTTTCTTTAGCCCAGGTAAGACGCTTCTGACGTTGTTTGTTGTTCAGGAGCAGCTTGACAAGAGGAATACGACATCTGAAGCCCATGTCTAGGATCCGTCTGTGTGTGGTGGCTCTTGATGCACTGACTCCAGCCTCAGTCCACTCCTTGTGAAAGTCCCCAACACTTTTGAATGGCCTTTTCCTGACAATCCTCTCCAGGCAGCAGTCATCCTTGCTGCTTGTACACTTTTTTCTTCCACACTTTTCCCTTCCACATAACTTTCTATTAATCTGCTTTGATACAGCACTTTGGGAACTTCCTTTGCAATTACCTTTTGAGGCTTTCCCTCCTTATGGCGGGTGTCAATTATGGTTTTCTGCACAACTGTCAGGTCAGCAGTCTTCCCCATGATTGTGATTCCTACTGAACCAGACTAAGAGACCATTTAAAGGCTCAGAAACCCTTTGCAGGTGTTATGGCTTACTTAGCTGATTAGAGTAGGACACTGTGAGCCTAGAATATTGCACCTTTTTACAATATTCTAATTTACTGAGATTGCGGATTTGAGGTTTTCATGAGCTGAAAGCCATAATCATCGCACTTATGACAAATCACGGCTTGAACTATCTTGCTTTGCATGTAATGCGTCTATCTCATATATTAGTTTCCCCTTTTACGTTGCATTACTGAAATAAATGAACTTTTGCATGATATTCTAATTTTTCAAGAATCAACTGTATATATATTTTTATATCACCCCTGTCATCCCTGGGGCTATGTAGTTTAATTGTGTAAATCATAAAAAAATAAAAATAACTAGAAAAGCTACAATTTCTGGGGAAATTGTGTGAAGTGTTCTTGCCTCCACCAGTAGTCTACAACTGGAGTGGGCGGAGTAACTGTTATCATTTATATAGCACATTTAATTGCAACGTTGTTGCACAGTTACATTAAACCATACATTTATAAAAACATTAGCAGGTGTTCAAAAGGCCCTGTCTATGACATCACTTGCTGCTGCAGCTTGACACAGGTCAGAGTATTTTGGCGGTTGCCATCTTCAAACGGTCGTATCTTAAAAACTATAACTCCTACAGCGAAGAGCTTTATATTGTGAGAATCACAAGACCCAGACCTACATTTTGATGCATAGTATGTCTCTGAAGTATTAAAAATGAAGGCACAGTCGCAGTTTAGAAAATGCACTTCAAATTTGAGCTTTGCAGAGTGAAGTTTCAATGAATGTCAATGGACGGCGTTGAGTTGCAAACAAATGGTCATATTGTGAAAACTATCAGGACTACGGCTTAGCCGTTGACATGTTTAGTGGCAGCAGGGATAGCTGAACGTTTTGATATAAGATTTGTGTAGGTGGGCCTGAAAATAAGGGAGTGGTGGCAGTTTAGAAATCATGTCCTGATTTTTCAGCTTTTGCCAGCTCCCACTCTAGCTTTGCCATTCATTCCTATGGGACAAATTGCGCCACAAGAACGACGATATTCCGTGAACCATTCGGCGAAACGTTCCACAAAGTAATAGCAATCCGATCAGGAACAATCTGCACGCTTTTGGTAAATTTTTGTCTATGTAGTATAAAAACTGTGTGAGGAGTTAGGGTGGCAAATTTGGCTATAATAAGAATAATAATATATATGTGAGATAACAATAAGTGGTCTTGCTATGCAAGAACACTTAATAATGTTAAGACAACGTTTAGACTGTCTTGGATAATAGTTTTGCCTTTTACAACGATTTTATGATGTAGAAATCATTGTACATGTCATTTATTTATTTTTCTTATATTATGATGCAGTTAGCTGCTAACCAACTGCTGTAAATATACCTTAAATATTTAGTTTAAAAATGTCATATGAGACCTGAGATATGATTAATTACAATTTTGATAATATTGTCTAAACATTTGCAGTGTACAGAAAGTTTCTATAACAATTAGAGATTTATTTTTTATCAACATCAAAAATACAGATGTGATAGGCTGCACTTGATGGACTCCAGTCTTTTTTCAGTCAATATAACTATGTAACTACGTAAAGTTAAAGACCACTATAGTGCCAGGAAAACAAACTCGTTTTCCTGGCACTATAGTGTTAATAGGTCCCCTCCCCACCCTCATGGCCCCCCTCCCATTGGGTTCTAGGGGGAGAAAGGGGTTAAAAGCTTACTCTCCTTCCTCTTCCGGTGATTGTGCATGCATGGCAAGAGCGCACATTCAATCAGTCCATAGGAAAGCATTTCTCAATGCTTTCCTATGGACGCAAGCGTCTTCTCCCTGTGAAAATCACAGTGAGAAGTGCGGAAGCGCCTCTAGCGGCTGTCAATGAGACAGCCACTAGAGGTTGGATTAACCCTAATGTAAACATAGCAGTTTCTCTGAAACTGCTATGTTTACAGCTGCAGGGTTAAGCCTAGATGGACCTGGCACCTAGACCATTGAGCTGAAGTGGTCTGGGTCCCTATAGTGGTCCTTTAATGTACTAGAATTGTTTAGTGCATGAATGAATTATTTGCTTCCCTCCAAGTTAAAGTTTACTGAAATCTTGTCTACAAAACCTATTAAAATAATTGTTTTGCATTATTTTACTATTCAGATTTTAGTTTGCTGAATGTTTGTGTTTAGTAAATACATCGTTGTATATATGTTCCACGTTAGTTGACATTGTAAAACAGTATATAGTATGTCAAAAATTGGCAATCTTCTTATTTTTTTAACAGATATAAAGTTAATAATGTTTAAAATGAAAAATAAAAATATATATTCTGAAGGCTGTGTATGTAAGATTTGAGATATATATATATATATATATATATATCTCAAATCTTACATCTTATATACATATATATTTTAATAGATATATATTCCCTGTTTAGTGTTTGGTTAGAAGGTGAAACTACAAAAGAGGCATTTGTACATTTGTACTGGGAAATTGGAAAAATAAAATTACATGTATCCATTTACTCTTTTTTTTTTTTTTTTTGACCAGAAGGAGAACAAAGCAGGCAGTACACATCCTGCCTTCCTGGAAGCAGTCAGTGCTAAATAAATTAAAGTCATCTGTACCATATTCAAGCTGTTTGTCCGTGCTCTTTTGGTTTTGAAAACCCTCATTTCCCAAAATGAAAAATGTTTATGCCAAATGTACCTCTTGGTCTTAAGATTTTATCATAAAGCATTATTCCAATATTTACAAGTGAACAGATGTGTTTTCATTGTACATCTGCAGTATAATTATTCTCAATTTTATATGCTTCCAGAAATTATGAAGTTCTTTTTTTAAAACCAAAATTATTGCTTGGTTTGCTGTAATAAAATAGAACCCTAATGCAAACAAGCATCTTAGTTGGTGAAATGAATCTTTATTATTGTTTCGACTTTGCAAATGGCAAAATAGCGACAATATTTTATGTCTCCCTAGAAGATAAGACTGTGGGCATCAAACTCTATTATCTATACAATTTTTATTGAATTGCTTTTTCATTGCCTACATACCAATTTGATTTGTAAGATGAATTGCATAATTTTTATTGTTATTTATGAAGCATTTTCTGGGAGCAGATTTGTATCTGCACTCAAGCCAGATATCAAAGCACAAACAGAGATAGGGTGGAATGTTGTTTAGTTTTGTAGGCTCGCAGCTTAGCTTCTGTTTATAGCATATTGAATGTGTAAATTGGAATTAGAATACGTATGGATTATTTTTATAGAGAGACTGTTGTTGTTTAACCCCTTGATTACATTATAATTCCATTCTAACAATCTAGTCTCTTAATATCATGTTAAGAATTTAATATTTCCCTTATTCTGCTGTACAAATTTATTATATATGCAGGTGTTCTTACTCAACCAAAGGGTTACATAGTGATATATATTAATCAAGGTTGAAAAAAGAAGTCCATCATGTTTAACGTTTGATACTCTTTATGCCCTTGATCGAAATAATACACAGAACCCCATTGCAGAGATTTCAAATTATGCAATAAAAAAAAAGAAAACATTCCTTCTTGACTCTATAATGGTAACCAGATTTCTCCTTTGGGTAGAGAATTTCATATCTTTATTGTCCTTACTGTAGAACACTTTCCTCTGCTGTAAGCAAAAATACCTTTGTTCTAGTCTCAATGGGTGACTACTAGTCGATTATATATTAAAGGCACTCTATAGGCGTCCAGGCTACTTCAGCTTGTTGAAGTGGTCTGGGTGCAATATTCCTGTCCCCCTTAGTCCCGCAATTTATATAATTGCAGTTTTAGAGTAACTGCAATAACTGCATTGCAGAACCAAGACTGCTTCTAGTGGCTGTCAATCAGACAGACACTAGAAGCACTTCTTGCTTGCTAGGTAACATCTAGTCGCCTAACTGATGCTGGACATCACTTGCCGTACATGTACATTAGGCCCCCCATCAGGTGATGTCGTAAGAGGTGGGGCATTAACCCAGCACTGAGGGAGATTGGTGCTGTAATTGGGTTAACAGTAACTAGGGTTTTTAATTCTTGAAGTGCCAGGGGGGCGTGAGGGAGGTGCCAGATTTGTAACATGTTTTCCTAACTTTATAGTGTTCCTTTAATAAACATATTAGTCCATAGTGGTTTGTACTGACTCTGTATATATTTGTATAGTGCTATCATATCCCCTCTGAGACTCCTTTTTTATAAAGAAGATGAATGCAGTTTTTGAGTCTTTCTTCATGCTTTCTATCACCCTTGCTAATTTTGCAGCTAACCTTTGCACTTTTTTAGTTCTGCAATAGCCTTTTTTAAACTAATGCCATAGTCTGATCTGTATATTCAAGATGGGGTCTTACCATTGATTATAGAGAGGCAAAATTATAAAATATATATATATATATATATTTCAGCACACTGATATGCACATTTTTCCCCTGTTTGGGTGTCGGATTAAGTGAGAAGTAACCAATAAAGGAAAAAAGGAAATGCAGTAAAAAAAAAATATATATGTATATATATATTTCTATACTATATATTTATTTAATATATACATATAGATTTATTTTACTGCTCCTTCTTTTTTTCTCTATTGGTTACTTGTAACTTGTCGCTTGAGAGTGACTAAAACCAACATTTAGTTTCTGCCCCCTAACCATCAGTCATCTTTATTTTCCCATTATTCTTTTTTTTTTTTCGCACCATAAACA